GAGGGGGTCCTTCGCCCCCTTCCGACCCTCCCCCTGGAAGGGCAGCGAGCCGGTGAGCATTTCAAACTGGGAGGGAAGGAGAAGAAGGTCAAACATCTGAGCAAGTCAGAGGGTTGCACAGATCCCACTGCACCTTCTGGGAGCTCGCGAAAGGTTTGCGAGCGGTCAAAAGCCTGGCTCTGAAAAAAGGCAGCAGGCATCATATGTTCTCAGAAGGACCTTGGTTGGCAGCGGGAACGTGCTGGAGGCAGCGCCTGCTCCTGCGGGAGCCCTTGGATTCAGCAACCGCCAGACGGTGGCACCAGATCTGCGCAGACCCCGATGTCCCAGCGCTGGGGCGGACACGGACCCCCCAGTGCTGCGCATCCCACACCGTGCACCCCAACGCTGTGTGCCCCGGCGCTCACGGGGCCGACAGCCTCAGGAGCTCTGCCTCCCCCCCAAGGAACAGGCGTAGCTGCCTGGACAGCCCGTTATGGAGCCTTTTTGGGGAACTTGGAGAACATCCCCGGGTCAGCACATCTGCCGGACATGCAGAGTCACGTCCGGGGGTTGCAGCCGCGGAGGCAGGGCCCAGCCACGCTCGGCGGGTACGTACCATCAACACGCCGTACGACCACCAGTCCGCACTGTGGGAGTGGCCCTGGCGATTCACAACTTCGGGTGCCATATACTCCACCGTCCCGCAGAAGGAATAGGCTTTCTTCTCGTGGTCTATAGCCTCCTTACTCAAGCCAAAATCTACGTTAAGAGGCAAAGTGTCAGCGTGCAGCCACGTGCTCTGAGCCATCACACAGAGCAGAGAGGCCTAAGAGAAGCTCATATTTTGAGAACCAGCCTTGCTGGAGCACAAGGGGTTTGTGGAGTCCCTTACCTGTGAGTTTGATGTGCCCTTCTTCATCCAAGAGGATGCTACAGCATGAATGAAAAAAAACAATTTGTTATTCTCTGCAGTAAAGGCTGGTGAGAACAAGCACACGCAGCAGGGGCTGGTCTGAGAAGCCCCCAGAACCCAGAGGAGAAAGTTATCTGTCCCTTCCCCTGGACCTTTAAGCTCCCTCACCAAGACATGGGTGGGATGAAGAGCAGCTCCCTTCTCTCTATGCCCTCAGGAATGACCCGCACAGGTTGCACCACCTTTGATCCCCCAAGTAAGAACAACTGACTCATGCAGCTGGAATGCGTCTCTGCAGAGGCCCAGCCTGGTGCCTCTTCCCTCCGAAAGCTCTCAGTTGCTTCAAGCTGGAGCCAGAGACGGCCAACAATTACTGCTCAGACACGTGGTGCACATGTGCTGCCTCCACAGCACCCCTGGCCCCAAGCTCTGAGGAGCACGAGCCGTGTCGACCGGCACTGCCACCTTCCATCAGGCTGCTCCGGGACCTCGGGGCATCCTTCAGCTTCGCCTTTGTGGAAGATGGTTGTGCCGTTCCCTGCCCGGGCTGCGCCGCACGTACTTCTCCGGTTTGAGATCCCTGTAGATGATTCCCAGGCTGTGCAAATGGTCAAGCCCCAGCGCCAGCTCTGCTAGGTAGAACTTCACGTCCTCCTCGGTGAACATGACCTGCAGGAAGGGAGAGGCAGGGGATGGGCACTGGGGTGACAATGCCAGCAGCGGGACCACCTCCGCTGCACCCACGCAAGAGCTTTCACATCCACGTTGCTCCCTCCTGCCCTTTCACACCCACATCTCCCAGGCTTCTCCCACCATCCTAATGCATCAATTGAGCAGCAGCACCAAAAAAAACGAAGCAGGTTGCTAAGCAGCAGATAGGTTTTTAAAAAACTCTTCATTTACTTTAACCAGGTTACGTTCCCAGCTGTCTTCACCTGGCACAACTTCTTGTCACCCGTCCCACTGCCTGCCCTCGCCTCGTCCCAGCGAGGCGACACGACCAGGCGACGCTGCAGCAGAACATGCTTCTCGCCTCTTTCTGTACTTGACGTGATGCTCGGCAGAAGCTGCGGCAGAGGGGAGACCTGCCTCCTCCGCTGCTGCTCTTCTGCCAGAGGACAGGGTTCCCCAGACATAGAATCATTAAGGTTGGAAAGGATCTCTAAGATCAAGTCCAACTGTCAACCCAGTACCACCATGCCCACTAAACCATGTCCTCACGTGCTACATCTACACGTTTTTTGAACACTGCCAGGGATGGTGACTCTGCCGCTTCCCTGGGCAGCCTGTTCCAATGTTTGACCACTCTTCTGGTAAAGAATTTTTTCCTAATATCTAATCTAAACCTCCCCTGGCGCAACTTGAGGCCATTTCCTCTCATCCTATCGTTACCTGGGAGAAGAGACCAACACTGACCTCGCTACGACCTCCTTGCAGGTAGTTGTAGGGAGTGAGAAGGTCTCCCTTCAGCCTCCTTTTCTCCAGGTTGAACAACCCCAGTTCCCTCACCTTCTCCTCACAGGACTTGTGCTCCAGACCCTTCACCAGCTTCATTGCCCTTCTCTGGACACACTCCCGCACCTCCATGTCCTTCTTGTAGTGAGGGGCCCAAAACTGAACACAGTATTCGACGTGCAGCCCCACCAGTACCAACTACCAGGGGCACGACCACTGCCCTAGTCCTGCTGGCCACACTACTTCTGATACAAGCCAGGATGCTATTTGGCCTTCTTGGCCACCTGGGCACACTGCTGGCTCACGTTCAGGGGACCGTTGACCAACGCCCCCAGGTCTTTTTCTGGGGCAGCTTTCCAGCCGCTCTCCCCCAGCCTGGAGCGTTGCGTGGGGTTGTTGTGACCAAAGTGCAGGTCCCGGCACTCGGCCTCTCCTCTCCTGTTGCCAGCTCTGGGCTAGCAGCAGGTTGGAGGTTGTTTCCACCCCTCTCAAAGACTTTGCGAGGGTCAATCGGCTTCTCCGGGCGATTAAGCCCAGATGAACTGAGAGCTTCAGTAAACCCCCCCGAGATGCCAGAGCATACCCACCTCTTTGGAAAGCCGAGTAAAAAGGTCACCTCCTCTGAGGAAATCCAAGATGAGATACAGCTTCCCCTCCGTCTGGAACGCTGAAACACAAGCCGGAGCAGGAATCAGACCCCTCCACTGCAGGAAGGCTCCAAGGGGTGGCATTAATCACCTAAATCCCAATGGCTCCAGTTGTGCAGATGCCCTGCGTGGTTACTGGGTTAAACACAGGTAGGGCTAATTATTTCGGGTCAATGGGATGGCCTGTCCGGGATGTTGGAACGGGAGCTCACCAGCAGCACTCTGGCACGGCAGAAAATCCTCGTTTTATGGGGGGCTGGTTCCCTCTCAGCCAGCGACGCTGCACTGAAAGGGCTGTTTTCCCGAGAGAAGGACCGGTCACGACAGGGAAAAAAGCCATCGGCGCCTTCCTCAGAGTCACAGCATCAGTCCTGCCAAACTCTGGCTTGCCTAGTTAACTCTGCTTTCCCAGTTTCTCCTGAATTAATGCTTTAATCCCAAGGATTTGAGGTTTAAACCTCTTTTCCCAGCCCATGCTCTGTTCCCCATTCAATACCTAGGGCGGGCGTGGGACCAAAGACTTTCCCGGAAAGCGTTTGTGTTCAGGGGATCGTGAAGGCTCCGGAGCAGCGCAGCCGTTGAGGGATACGGACTGACCCAGGCCTCTTCTCCATCTCAGGTATCTCCAGAAGCCTCTTAGGAACCCTGGGAGCATCCTCCAAGCAGCCTGTTGCTGAATGCCTCACGCTCATTATATATAGTTCTATAGTTTCTATTATATCAAAAAAACCCTATAGTTTCTATTATATCTTATTCTTAAAAGCAGTCAGTGTCTGTTTGAGCCTCCAGCTCCTCTCCCAGTGTCCCACCTGGCTCCACACTCACCGTAGTGGAGTTTCACCACAAAGGGATGGTTTACATCAGCCAGGATGTCCCTTTCTATCTTCGTCCTTACTCGATCACGCACTGTGGGAAGAGAGAGGAAGAGCTCAGGCACACGGTACCTCGGTGTTGGCCTCGGCCCCAGCCTTGAACCCTTTAGCACCAGGCAGCTCCAGCCAGATCTTTTCCCACCTCCAGCACTGCAACAGAGGTCTTTTACAGATGGAGAGAGAAGGAGGCTGTTTGGCTGAGATAAAAATACTTCTCAACTTGAGAGTTGGAACTAGATCGTCTTTAAGGTCCCTTCCAAACCAAACCATTCTGTGGTTCTGTGATTCATCCTGGGGCCAGCAGTGACTGCCGTGGCATCTCCCCAATGCTCTTTAAGACACGGAGGACAAGAGCATCGCAAGAAGAGTCTCCTACCTTTCAGTGTCGCCTTCTTGAGCACTTTCATAGCATAGAGGTGGTTGCTGTCTGGCGGTGTTATTTTTCTCACCAAGAAAACCTGAGGCAGAAGAACACCACGTTGGCCAAGCACTAAACATCAGCAGTAGGAGCTGGACGCCTCCCAAAGTGGTGAACCTCACAGAAACCCTAAGAAGCAGCTGGACACAGGACGGGGAAGACATAACCTCAAGCTCTCCCTGTGAAAACCATGGAGCTCTCAGGAAAGTGCTGTGTGTTGGCTCCTCTCAGCCCTGATCTCCAGCCATTACAGCATTCCTCCTTTCATACTGCACTTTCCTTCCTCTTCCACACCTCTGGCTCACTCCTGCCGGAGCTCTCAGGAAAGTGCTGTGTGTCGGCTCCTCTCAGCCCTGATCTCCAGCTGTTGCAGCATTCCTTCTTTTATACTGCACTTTGCTTCCTCTTCCACACCTCTGGCTCACTCCTGCAGCTCCTGGGGGGCTCATGGGAGCTGTCCCTTGAAGCATCGATGCTTTAATGTACCACAAACCCTCTCGGTGACTTGCTGGTCTGACAGCCAGATCAACGCCTTATTGCTCAGGTCCTGCATCCTCTCTGGATTTTTCCCTCCTTCCCTTCCCTGATGTCCCATTCGACCTGGTTTTAGGTGGCTTCAAAAGACACCAGCTCGCTTTTGCGTAAAGCCGCTGCTGCCCTTGCCCAGGCAGCAGCCCACCGTGCCCCACGAGCCCCCGCTGTTGGCGCTGGTGACTGATGGACACGATTTAACGTGCGAGCAGACGGTCTGTATGAGACCTGGGTTATTTACACGTTGAAATGGGTGTTACAGGCTACTTCCTTCCCCCTTCACAGAAGGGAAACTGGACCATAAACACGGGCCAAAACCAGACACACGCAGCAGCGTTTCTGAGAAGAGAGGAACATGCCCAAGTCCTCCAGGTCCTCAATTCCACAGCTTGGCAGCCAGCTAGAGAGCTGCAGGAGGTCCCTCTGCCCTCTGGGACACCTGCATTCCCAAGCAGGATACTGCTCCTTTCTCCTGCTCATCTGAAAATGGAATTACAGGGGAGCTTTGGCTGTAGAGCTTCCCTTACAAGGAGGCATCTCTACAGTTGCCTTTCAAGTTAGAAGCAACTGTTTGCTAAGTGGGCTCCTCAGTCAGATTCTCCCAATCTGGTGGGAATCAGGAAAGTGGTTTTGTTGAGGGTGACAGTCCCTTTTGTCATCAAACCCATTTATCTGGCACGACACACAGTCAGCAGTGAACTCACCTTGCCGAAAGAGCCCTGTCCCAGCACCTTCAGCAGCTCGAACTGCGACGGATCGGCTTTCTCGGAGCCTTCCTTCACATGGTGCGTGATGTTGATTTCTTTCACAACACCTTCGCCCTGAAAAAGAAGGGACATGGTTGGCTGGGAATATCCTCCTGGAGAGGGGAAAGCAAGCCTTCTCGGATTAAGGAGCAAGGATTGTAGCTACGGACTCACAGGGACCACATCTGAGAGAACCATGAAGGTTGGTGCTTGTCACAGGTAATCACCTGGCTTCAACATCTGGAATAAATAAGCCATCAGTGGGCTTGTACCAGGCAGCTGTGTTAAATGTCCTCCCCAAACGCTCTGCTCCTCGCACCGCAGCCATGGCATTTCTTCGAACGGCGTTTCAGAAGGGTGCTCGAAAAGCACCTTCCTTTTTCAGGCACTGGTGGCAAAACTGGGAGTGTTTATGCCACTAGAAATCCCACAACACAAAAATACGGCACTGTTGTCAAAACACGGCCAGGGCTGGCACAAACCAGACATGTTGGAGCCCATCTGCTCGGCAATCTGAGCGACTCTGCAACATAAGTCTTAGTGCATCTTCAGCACATACAGATGATGCTTTAACAGACTCGAGCCTTCAAGAAGATTGAGGGGAAGCCAAGGTCTCTGGCACATGTTTTGTTTAAAACACATTATTTTATTAAAAAAAAAAAACAACGTATATTGAAGAAAAAGAGCTTTAATCAGCAGCATCTAGAATAAACTCACCAAGGAAGCACACGAGAACAGCCGCAGACCCCAAGGTGATGCTGGAAGACCTCCCCTCCCCAGCAAACCTTGTCCATACCTCGGTGCATAAAGCCAGAGTTCAGCTCAACACAAACACCTTGTGCTGCTTTCTCTTGGCATCCCAAACATAAAGAGACTTTTTGTACTGCTAGCCCTTCCAGCTGTGCCTTTCCCTCTTCTTCTCCTGACCACTCGTAGCCAATACATCTGTACTTGGGTCTCCTCTGACCTTGACCTGTTCCAGCCCCTCTCCTGGCTGACCACAGGGAGGGTTTGACTCAACTCCCCAGTTCTACAGACACGAATCATACTCAGAAATCCCTTGTAGCTGTACATCTTGTAAGGGCAAGTCCAGGCTTCTTAGCGCTTCGGTCCCACGTCATCCAGTGTTAGACATGGTCTGGTTGCTATTTGGACCTGAAGGCCAGCAATTATGTCCCAAAGGTCATTAAACTCGGTTGCTGTCTGACCCTTGGGCAGGTGTGGCCACCAGAGGCTGCCAGAAAGCTGGAACTACTATTGAGTTTTTCAGAAAAAAAAAAAGTTACGTGTTGTTTTCTAAAACTATTCGGCTACTTGGCGTGGAACCCACCTAATCAAAGCAGCTTTCAAAAACAACAGGAACCAAGTTTCAGCCTCTGCTTCTCCTCTGCACCCCAGCCCACTCCCCACCCTCCCAGCACCTCCTCGGGGAGGGTGGCCTTGCCAAGTACCCGCGGATGTGGTTGCCTACCTGCACCAAGCACCCTTCCCTTCCCACTCTCACGCTTGGCTTTTTTCTAGCTTAGGAAGCTGCTTTGCTTCCCCCTTGGTCGCTTTGCTCTCTCGAGATCCTGCATTATTCAGACACAGAGATGGAGCAGAGAAGCCCACGCTCTCCGTGGGGCAGCACGGGCAGCCCCGGTGCCCGAGCGGGCAGGGGGACGGGCGCTGCCCCCGCGTCGCCCTGGCTTTTGCTGCTCTCAGCCATCACAGACAAGAAAGATCTTACAATCCCTGTAACGACAAGTTTTCACATTCCGTGTGCTCTCCCAGCTTAAATCAGTCGCCTCGCGCTTCTGCTTGCGTTTGGAGGCTCAGTCCGTGGCAGACAGCTGCTGGCTACGGACAGCTTCCTGTTTCCACCCAAAAACTGGAGCGGGAGGCAGCCAAGAGGTCTCCTCCGGCCAGTCCTTCCGCATTGCTCTCCAGGGAGAGACCCCACAGCAGGGAGAGATGCTGAGATGGACCAGAAGAAGCCGTAGGCTCTTCCCCTCCCCACCATCTTCTGGAAAACACTAGAAACCCAGTCTGCAGAGCATCAGCGCTCGCACAGCCGTGCGTGTTCCACCTCGTGGCATCCCACACCTATGCAGGGAGGAATGAACTCCTGGATCCACCTCCAAGGTGTCCAGACCCACCGTCCTACTACAGCTCTTCAGGAGCTGCGGAGCGACGTATTTCCACAGCTGTGGGAATTCTTCACCTTGGTCAACAGCAAGACCCAGAGTGTTTAACTGCCAGGTGGTTTCAGCAGCCCGAGCCATGTCCCAGGGCGGGCAGGGATTTGCATACGCAGCCTGCCGGCCGGACCGCATCAGCAAACAGCCGCTTGTGCCAACGAGACCCAAAGTGGCATCGGCAGAGACGCTGTTGACAGCTTTCTGAGAAAAGCTTTGAGATGCCGTTTGGCATCTTGCTGACACAAGGGAGGTCTCCTCCCACGGACTCATCCAGTAACTTGCAATCCAACAGTTAGGACTCTGGAGACCAGCTCCTACAGCCCGTTTGGAAGTGCACCAGAATGAGTCCCCAGCACAGAAGCCCCGCAGCACAAACGGCCCAGATAAGTTTCTTCCAATGGCACCTTTAAACAAACTATCCCAGAAAACAGAGAAAGAAAAGCAAACCGGACCACTCCGAGCATCCATCCGAAGCATCGGCCCCACCTGGACGAGCAGCCGACGCCGCGGAGCGAAGCGGAGCGAGGTAGTGGTGGTACTGACCGGGCTGGGGAGCGGGCTGGGCGCCGGCAGCGGCAGGCTGCAGGGCTTGGCTCGGTGCTTCCTCTGCAGCCAGAGCGCCAGGAACGCGCAGATACGAGGCAGTTTAGGGTCCCTCTCCATTCTCCCATCCCGATCAACATCGCACAGCCCCAGGAACCGCCACCCCCGCGAGCTCCCGGGGAAGCACGGCCGGTTCCCGGGAACCAGGGGGGGTCCCCTGGAGCTGCCTGGATGCCCCGTGCTCGAAGCTGCCGGATGGAGGAGATACAGGTGGTTGAAGCTCAGCTGGCAGATGCGCAGTGGAGACAAGCGACTCGGTCGCACGGAGGCAGGTTCATGCTCCCACGCCTCGGCAACAGCGCTTGTGGTTGGGGCTTTTTTGTTTTTCTGGTTTTGCTTTTTTTGAAAAAAAAAAAAAAAAAATCTCACAGCTCCTTGTTCACATTTGGGTTCCCTGGGTCAGACAAAGACGCTGACAGAAAACAGACACGGTCTAGTTAAAGTGATTTCCATCTAGTGCTGCATCAATCTCATGTCAGGCTGTGATATTGGGGGGTATTTCCATAACGGGGATATTCTGAGAAGCCACTTACTCTTTAAAAAGGAAGAGAAAAACTCCTGAAAGCCCTCCCAGAAGTCTGAGCCCACTGCGGAAATCTGCACATCTCCCCGCTCTCACCGATCCCACAGGCAAATCCTCCGGCATCACCAGGATTTGCATCTAGTCCTTTGGTCACTTTATGCTGCACGAGTCCTTGCCGTGGATGCTGGAGTTATCTAAGAGCCACCCTGGAAAGTTCCACGCGAGGTATTTTAACGGCGTTTCTGATGCAGACGGCTTCTGAGCCCACTGCTGCGCGGCTTTTATCGGCAGGACGGAGGGCAGGTATTTAGAGCGCTCGTTTTGCCTCCTTCCCCCTCCAAGCCTGGTCCCTTTTGACCCTTCTGTTGGGTCAGGACAGACAGATGTTTCCTGCAGCAAGACCCCAGAGAGTGCAGGTAAGAAAGAAACCCCTCGAGATGAGTAACGAGACGCCCACGCACCTTTGCAATTAGAAACAACCCCATGTCAGCGTTGGTGTCTGAATTTCTCCAGAGTGCAGAGCATGAAGACGACCTCGGTTTGGACTCAAGTGGAGAGACTACTTATGACTGTTGGGCCTCCTCCGCCCCCGTAACATGCTCTTTGAGAACCGATAACGAAAGAAACCAGTGACTTAATTCCAGCAAGGCAGCCGGTCCCAGCTCCGCAGAAGGAACCTCAATAGCTGATGAGATCCAAAACGGAGCTGGGGGGTAGAATGGCACCGTGCAGCTGCCGAGCACAAGTCTGGAGGAGCCTCGGTTCATACCGACACCTCCTTCGTTCTGCCACGGTCCCGGCGAAGCAGAAACCGTGTCCATAACGTGCCGTCCACAGATGAGCATCGCCGCTTCCAAGGAAGCTCGACGCTGCTCAGTGAAGCCGTGCAGGAGATGCAGCACAGCTCTCCGTGCGTGGGCCTGGCAAGATCTGATAAACCTCGTCCCAATTGAGACAATTTTGCTCGCTGTGTTATCGGGCACCCGGCACGGGGAGAGGAACCTCAGAAAAGCCATGGAAAACCCCCCTCCACCGAACATCCGTGCGACTAAGGCTGGAGCATCCGCCCCAGCACGCTGATGAGATCAGAAAGCCACAGGAGACATAAATGACAGCATGGAAAGGGGTTGGCGTGGGGAGGAAGGAGGAGGAGGAGGATGAAGTCAAGTCCAGGATGTCACGTGAGCAAGTGAGTAATAGCTGTTTTCTGTATGAGCAGCCCCAGCTCGGCGGGACGGTCGGTGCTCAGCGAGGTCCTGGCGAGCTCCGCGCACGCCCTCGCGTAGGTGGGATGAGCCATCATGGGATGAAGTGCGACCTGAACGCGTGAACCCCCCCGAGGTGCAGGTCTGCAGCAGGCTCTTACCTTGTCTGCTGCATCCACCAGGTCTTTCTCTATCCAAGTGATGTCTGATTTTGCCTGCGGGACAATAAACAAGCGTCAGCACGGAGGGGCTCTCCTACTCCACTAAAGTTTTTTCCCCCAACGAACGTGTTTAGCAAGAGCAGGTGAGCTGTTTGCAGTCGGTGTCTCACCAGACATCGCTCCTCGGGATGCGATTCAGAGCTGCGTCGGTGGCTCCAGGAGAAGAGCTGGAACCAGCTACTGTTAAAGGCTTTGATAAACTCTGAGGGGCAGTGGAGAAGGACGCGATGCCGGCGCTTAGTGTTTCCCAAGAAATCAGAGCATTGGCAAATTCTTGGCAAATCATGTTTCCCAAGAATCAGAGCACCGCCGCCAAGGAGAGAGAATTAATTTCTGGCAGGTTGATTACCGGCTAGATCCGATTTTACACCTGGACGAACTCCAAAAGCATCTGTTCTGGTAGGGATGTCCTGGATCTGCAGGGAGGTTTGGCACCTCCATGGCAAAGAGGGGGCTTCTCTCCAGGGGCACACTCAGCCTTTCTAAAGCAACCAGGAGGAACTATCCAAGTTCCAAAACTCAGCACATCCCTCAAGGGCAAGGCAGGGCCAGCCCAGCTGCTCAGCCAGGTCCCTGAGCAGCATTAGAATCACCGAATGGGTTGAGTTGGAAGGGACCTTCAAGACCATCTAGTTCCAACCCCCCTGCCATGGGCAGGGACACCTTCCACTCCAAAAGTTGCTCAAAGCCTCAGTTTACTTTGCCTCTGGGGCCAGATGCAAGGCTGTGAACCCTTACGGGGAGGGATGCAGAAGCATTTAAAGGGAGCTGCTCAGCTAGGACACAGCTCTTTCTGCCCCTAAAAACTCAAACTTGAGTGAAGCAGTAAGTTTTCGGAAGGTCAGAGCATTGATCCTCAAGCCCCCTGTATTTTAATGAACGTACAGAGGTTTGCTATCACATCCAGGTGCTTTCACCTGTTTTTCAGATAACGAGCTAAGTTTGAACAGAAAAATCACACCACCCCCCTCCAAAAAAAAAAAATCAAGTTAGGTTTGAAAAATTTCATCTGAGAGGTTCAAGGCTTTGGCTGTAGATGAGATAAAAAACCCTAATGTGACTGCAGACAAGGGACCTAAGAGAGACTCGAGCTGTGACTTCTCTTGTTTCTTTTCAAGCCGTTTGTCAGCACGCTGGAGCCCACGGCGCTGGCGGGGCCCTTCAGCACCAGTAACATCAACCAGGTGGGCGCTGCGGGAGGCAGAAGGACCTGAAAGTAGGACAGGAGCTATGGGGAGAAGAGAGGAGGAAACACAAACCTTGAGCGAAGGGAGGAGCTGAGCGAAAACGGTGAGATCAGAGTTAAGAATTAACTGATCTTCAGCTCCGGAAGGACTGAATCAGATGGCAGGGGCCCCTCACAGTCACCTCTTCCCCTTCCTCCCCTCCATCGCTCCGCCTTTGCTGCCAGAGCAGCCGAAATCGCTTTGGCTCTGGGAGAAGGTGGTCGTCGTGGGGAGTGGGTGCCCGGGGCAGCTGGCTGCCACGTCTACCAAAGCCACAACTAAACCCCTTCCCGAGCACTCAAAAACGATCACAAAACCCTCCGCGTTCCCCATTTCCACCCCAGGGATCACACCGATCCCAAGGAAACCAGCTCCTCCATGGCTCTGCCAGCGAGCGGGCACCAAACCGCCTCGGACAGGGACGGATTGATTCCTGTCCCACAAGCGCGGATCTCCCTGCAGGGCCACCCCACCAGCACAAGCCATTGCTCCCGTGAGCTCCCAGCCATCTCCTGCCACCCATGGTCTGGGGGGGCCCATTTTACACAGATTCCTGCACCGCTGAGAAATTGTATTTGCTGCTCCTGGGATATAAAAGGAGACCAGGCCAGCAGCCAGGTCTGAGCCCAGGAGGTCGCTGAAGTCGGAGGAGGAGACAACTTCTTCTGAACTTCCCAATGCCACCTCCAAACTGCACGGATGGCTTAGTCATCCCAGATCAGGGGCTGGGGACATACGGTGGTTTGTTGTTTTTTGTTGTTTTTTTTTTTTCCAACACCAAGTTGAAAATAGAAGTCCTCTTTCCTACTTTCCCCTTCTTGGAGGACGGATTTTACAAGCCAGAAGCCAAGAGACAGGTTTGTTTTAGCTCGCGTTCTGTCACTTTGCTGCTTGAGACCGTCACATCTAAATGCAAGCACAGAAAAAAAACAACCTACAAGAGCTAGAAACAGATTACGCTTTTGGCATTTCACTTCCTATTCATCAACAACTAACCAGAAGCTGTTTTAATTTCTGTTGCTTCAACACATGCTCTGGTCCCGAAACGCTCCCAAATTCTGGCAGCACCTAGGAAAGACGCTTCTTAGCAAGCAGCTTTACCATCAGAAATGCCTTTTTGGAAAGAGAAGCCGTTAATTAGAAGCGGGTGAGGGCTGGCTCGTTAAGGTCGGGCGATGCACCGACTTCTGGCGTCCTGCAGAAGAGACAAGAGCACGGCACTGTACGCACAGCGGATGTTTTACCAGCCAGACACTTGCCTCCGGGATCCTGGGCTTGCTGCGAAAGAGGAGCCTCAGCATCTCCACAGCTTTAGGCTGCTATTCTCCCATACTTTGCAAGCTGCTTTCTGAACCCAGAGCACCCCGCAGCACCCAGAGCGGCACGAGAACCCCGAGTGTAGTAGTTAACGTCACCGGGATGTATTTTGGGAGTTTTCGCTGAAAGGAAACTGTGGTTTCGTATGGGGAAATCGCGCCGCGCGGCGCCGGCTGCACAACACCAGCGGCCGAACGAAAGCGCTGGATGGCTTTACGGGTGCTTAGGCACGGCGCTTCCCATCAGCAAATCTCAGCAGGCTTTTCGAGAGGATCAGCGTTAGTCCCCCGTGCCGCAGGCAGGAAAACCCACACAGAAAGAGCAATTCCAGTCGCTACGCGAGTCGGCAGCGAGCAACCCAGCGCCCGCGCCGCCTTCCCCAAAGCTACGCCGTCCCTGCTCTGCGCAGCACCAGCGGTCCGTGGCCAACGCTCCAACGGTAGGATCGGCTGAACTGCAGGTGTC